AAACAACTGGCATGCAACTCTTGGCTTTCAGTTTCATAGCATATATGAACCCCCGTGATAAGGCAATGAAATGAGATGTCCGCAGAAATTGTTTGGCCGTATGAACGCATTGCACCAAAGGTAAAGCAAAGAGTGCGATTATTTCTTCAAAACTTTTAGAATAGCATAATTTAGCATCTTACAGGCTCTTAGACTATGATCGCGTGACTTCAACTAATTTTTCGTTACTAAATAATAATAATAATTAAAACACTCTGAGAATGTAAATGTTGTCTACGATACTAGCGTTCTGTCACCCTTTGGTCATATGAATTGTTGCGGTTTCTCTTTCCCTCATAAGTGGAACTTAAAGCGGAAGACTAAGACAAAAGTGATGGTCTCACCCACATATTCGATTGAATTAAAGCATGAACGAAACACCCACGAAGTCAAAGGGCGCTGATGTAAGGAAATTACGTAGATCGAATGATATTCTGTACTCACGATCTCACTGAGACCGAAAAATTCACTTTCTAGATCGTTATACCCATACCTACCCATATACAAGAAACGTAGCCGATAACACAGTGTATATGTGTTTCATGTTGTACTAATCAAGTGAATTTAGTTAAAGAACACTTTATCTGCCTCCCATAGCACACCAAGTCAGCCAAAAGCTGTTAAATTGTGTTCAGACACTCCACTATAGCCACCGAGCGTTCGCGTTCTATATCAGGTCATAAAAGTTCCTCTTACGTACGAGAGGAAAGCTGAACAAAAACATCCGAGAAACCGTTCAGAAGCAAAGAAGGCAAAACGGTTTAAGGTCGTATCGTATGGACAACTTAGATATGTTCAGTAATTTACATGTAGAGAACTACATGGAGATGTTTATTCACGTTTAACTACAGTCATGGAAGGCTGTGAAAAGACGTATTCCCCCTTATCATGATATACATCGCTACGAAATTATTTCATATAGAGTTCTAGTCAAAAACTTTAACCCTTTGTGCTTAAGAGAGTCGAAAAATGATCATAAAAAACGAATGATCGAGGCTCGGTAAGCAAGCAAGATATACTGTTTTGCTTCTTGACTAAAGATAGGTCCCTCAGGTTTTGTCATTACACTGGGGAACACTAAAAATAAGAGATACACTAGTAAAAATCTCAAGATAGCCAAGGACGATTGAGATATCTCCCGATGAAATGCGCCATATAATACACAAAGTACGCATATAGGCTACATATAATTATATATATATGGCTGAAAGGACAATGCACCAGATGCACCAGTGTATATCGACCATCAAACTTACCATTTCTTCGTGGGTTCTCGTCAGTTAAATGCATGTATATCAGCACGATGGTAAACGCACATGGTACGCACATTTTTGCTAACGCCAGCACTTTTTACTGCTCAAATATGTTCGATCTAAAATGGGGGTGAATACAGCACATGTACACTGCACTACATTCGATTGAGATGCGAGACAAGTTGGAAGTAGCCAATAGGTGACGACAATCTTTAAGTGTCACGTGCTACTTGAATTGTGTACCTAACTTACGTCACGAACTCGTGGCACGGTTTGAATCTGATTAGTTGATAGGGAAACGTGAATTTTCTAGACCAATTACATAGAAAAATCTAATACTTTTCGTTTTCGAACCTCAATGAATTTGCACTCATTAAAGTTATAAGTTTCTAGTGCGGGTGAGCTGTAATATAACAAAGTGCAAAAAAAGAGACTTGAAAAAGTTCAATCATGCCTCGACAAAATCTCATATTCTGGTTAGTCGCTAAAAAAACTAGGCTAAAGAGGCACATGTTGGGAACAAGGCAACAGCGCTAATGGGTTTCTTTCATTCCGCGAAAAGGAATATGTCACAAATGGGAAATATGACTGAAACAGTTCGTATTTTGACCTTTGCATGGAGGCCTGAATTTTTCTTTAAATTTCTATAAATTTCTAGAATTGCAACTCACTCGTAAGAACCATAACGTTACTTAGTACCATTCACAAATCAAAACGTGCCTCCTTTTGTATTAACTATTTGCACAATGTATTCATATTTCAATGTCGATAGAATACGATAAGTCCGATGGCCGATGGGTCACTGATGTAACTGTGGTAACATGACTTGTTTCATACTTAATCAGCGTCTTGTTTTCTCAAATTTGCTGTGATACTTGAGTCCAAGTTGGTTGAACTATAACTATTGGGAATTTTGAAAATGTAGTTAATTTGTGGCCTAATCGTCCGGGCGCCGAGTTGTCCTGAAAAGGACCGTTGTCGGCGCGGTGACTGACGGTTCGACAACCTCAGCGGAAGTTTTCATCAGTGGAATCAACTTCCGCTCAGGTTGCCAAAACGTCAGTCACAGTCAACGACAGCTGTTCTTTTCAAATTATTTACACCAGGACGTTCAGACCACATGATCAGCTGTTTCCTCCGGGTTCAAACCGTTCACCTTACTGTTGAATATATGGTAGACAAAATATCACATGAACTACTTCTACATTTCCTGAGTTTCAGAAAGTTTAACATTTCACTCGCCTTCAAATCTGAGAACGTTCAAGGTCATTAATAGTTGGTGGGGCTGATAAACGTGCGAGAATGTCACAGAGTTGACCAAAGTTGCTCTCGGAAATCAGAGGATAATTAAGAAGTTTTTCGATTGTGGATTTTTCGAGAACGAACAATTTTCGGAATGTTCAACTATGGTGTTCAAAAGCTAAGTTGTGTTTCGTTGCTGAGAGATCTTAAGTAAAACATCTAAGCTTATTATCCGGCGTCCTGCCTACGTCCTACACTGTGCGGAAAACCTCGCCCATTTCAAATTAAAGCTTTGAAAAATCCCGCCATTTATTTCTAGTCCTGTTATTGCTTCCTTGCATTTGTTCGCAAAGAATATCCGGGCGTTTTAATTTTTCTCGCTTGTGCTAAAAAATTCCAAAATTGACTCCCATTCACTAAGATTTTCTAGCATGGTGGGAAATTAAAACTACCTGTCCAAACGACGGGTGTAACCATATTCAGGAGTCTGTATAAGACCTAAACGGTGGCTTAATATGTTGGCCTTGCTGCACCTTGCGGCGCGGCGCGTTGACGTTTATTGGTTCTTTTTACTTTGCCTCGTCCACTGTCGTTTATCCCCACATAAAAAGAGAAAGCGCCAATGTAATTTTAAAAAAAATTGTCGAATGGATTTTGACCTGTCATCTCCAAAAATAGTTCTGCTTAACAAGGTTTGATTCTCACATGATTCTCACAGCAAGATCCGTTTAGTCAAATTTGTTCAATGTAATAAGAAATAAAGGGGGTAAGTTTCTAGAGAAATTGTGGTGCTGCGTCGGTGGGAGAGTATGAAAAGATAATTTGTTTTTATCAACTGACTTGATAATGTAAATTGGCCTCCGTAAAGAGGTTCTGAGCCGATGTCTCGAGCGTAAGCCCCTTGTCAGAGTGAATGACGAAGGATTAAAGCTCGAAATGTCAGCTTTTAAACCAATTACGGTGGCCAATTTACATTATCAACTCACTTTATAGAACCAGCTTATCTTACATTATGAAACAGCCTAGTCTCAGCAATGAATGCGCTTCAACTTATGAATAGGCAATTTTCGAGAAATTTCAAGGAGTCTCATGTAAAGAATAACCCCAAGAGTGAAACCTGTGCTTAAACATGTTAAATTCTTGGAAAAATATAGGAATTTAGATGGGTGGTAATCGTGCTCATACGAAAGGGATACAGTGCCATTACTACTACGAATAATCACATGAACAACAACGACTGTCTCGTTCAAACATGGCGTTTGTTTCAGTTTTTCTTAGGGCGCTTAGCAGTACGCGCTTGGCTCGAGCATTATGTTTTAGCAGTGATGGGTATAACTGTAGATGTGTTATTACACAGTCACATGAAGCTAACCAAATACACATTAAATTTACTTCAATGTCTATCAATGTTTTTTTACCTCAAGGAAGAGCTGTTACTTGTCGATGTTTTCGCTCTCTGCTCCTGAAAATAACTTTCCCATTGATCAGACTGACGGCATAGGATGTCACTTTGTGTTTGCAGACCGAGTAAAATGCTCAAGAATTCCTTTCTTATGATTTCTTTATCACCCTCACCGATTTAAAGGAGCGAATCTTGCTTTGCTAAATTATTATCAACCGGCATGGCGCACCTGTAAATGGAATACAATGAAAAAGATCTTAATCAATCTGGGGGACTGGGAACCAAAACATCACATTTCAAATGCAGCTCACCTATTTTTAGCGTCAAAATGCATCTCCTTGAATATCTCCTTGACGTCGGTCCTCTAAATACACATCCGCCATCAGACCAACACTGGCTTTTTTACGAGTGGTTTTTGCGCGATATGAAAACTAACCGCCGGAGAGGGTCCGAATAATATAAATAAGCCCTTTTCTGGTTTACTGGTATGTGGCGAGACAAAAACTTGAGTGGGTCTTCCTTTCCGGTACCAAGCCATTCCCTGAGGGTGGGTTCAGGACACGAAAACCGCTCTGGTACCCCTCACGTTATTAATTTTCAAAGCTTCAGCGAAGGGGGGGAGGCTTGCTAGAGGGGGGGGGGGATAAAAGAGAGGAATGTACGAAATAAAGGGCAAGGAGGGAGGGGCTGGGTTTGTAGAAGAGCAGGACTAAAAAACGTGAAGCTCTGGACGGGGTTTACGAAAGAGGGAAGCTCGTTAGAAAGGACAAAGGTTGTAAAAGTGTCAACGCTAACATTTACATCAGTACACGTCGGAATTGAAGTTCAGAGAAAGATTTAGATTAGGGAAAGACTTATGCATGAAGCGAGATTTAGATAAAATACCTTTGCCCTATCGATCGTGTAGTTCGATCGTTTGGATGAGAACGGTCTTGAAAAGGACTCTGGTTGGTGAGAGTGAGTGACGTTTTGACAACCCGAGCAATAGTATTTTACCAATGTCAAGTTCAAGGTTGCTTGTTGAAGGATTGTGATGGATTTTGTTCTTGAAAACTTTTTGTCAGCTGTGATATACCGTGTTGGCATGGGCTGCAAGACTCAAGTGGCTTCTTCATCATTTCAGCATCAGGACACCGTGCTGGATGTGCAGCTGGCCCGGATGTTATTTATTAATAGGAGTTTAACTTCGTTCGTTGAGGTTGTTTTAACTGGTTTAAGTGAAGGCTTTCTCCGTTTCACATGAGGAAAACCTATGAAGAAACTGGTGTTCCTTGAGTTATCGGGGAGGCTGAAGTGGATTCTTGCGGTCTCCTCTCTTCTATGCGGCAAAGCATCTCCTAACACGAAGAAGTTCTGTATGCATTAAAGTGTGATTACTTTTAGGATCATAGAGGAAAATAAAACAATATTTAGATTGTCATATTTACTAGTAGAAGATTTGCAGATATTTCCGTCAGTGTGCACATAAATAAAGGAAATTAAACAGATTGTGTAAAAAAACCTCCTCTTCCCTTACAACCTAATGACACCTTTGCCGTTTAATCGGTTTTGCAGGCCGTCACTACTTTTCGATAGAATGTTAAATTGTTTTTTCACGCAAAATAGTTGTTCGTCTTAAATATTACAACAGCTTAACGAAAAAACCGAGAGTTGAACGAGATATTAATAATGGTAATTGAACTGGGCCGGAATGCAAGTGGGTCTGGAATCATTTGCGCGAGTTCAAAATCTAACGAGCGCGCGGTATGATTTCAGAACAAAGTTGCGCGACACGAACTTCAATTACCACTTCAGTTATTACATTCATTTTGAAATCGCAAAATTCAGTCTCACAGATACAGCCTCCTTAAGTCTTCACACACACATTTTATTGATCTAATACTGAACTAACTTGTAAAAGTTTCAAAAATTGTCTGATTTTCCTGCAATTTGATTGGTCACTTTAAACAGGCATTGAAATCTGATTGGTTGTCGTGTTTTAGGAGAGCTTTCTCATTGGCTAGGAAAAATGTGCAATTTAGAGAAACAATTAGCGCGATTTGTGAATAAATCGCACCAACGTGAGCCGATCACATTGCAAGGATCATCAGTGATTTTAAAATGGATGAAATAAAGAGAATTAAATAACGTGCAGACAATCTAATTGGCTCATCGCAAAGAGGATTCAACCCGAGGTGCATGAGTTACTATATCAACAATCGCAGACCAAGTTTAACTCTAAGCGACGAGAAGCTAACACAAGATACGAGGTGAGAATTAAACTCAAAGTGCGTACGATACATATCAACAATCAGTGTAGGATTAAACCATAGCGCTCGGAAAACTAGTGCAGCTATCGAAGAGAGGAGTAAATTCAGCGTGTGCACGGTACTAACGTTCGGTAACAAGGGCAAAGAACTAAGATTAAAATCAATTGTGTCATATAAAAACGTAACAATCTCAAAGAGAATCAAACTAAAGGGTACGAGACACCAACATGGCCGGCGCAACATTTCAACATAACATCTTGCAATATTGTTGTGTGCAATGTTGCACACCTTTGACCACCCTGTAGCAAAATGTTGCCACATGTTGCAAGATGTTGAGTGGTGTTGGATCAAGTTTGAAAATGGTCAGATTTTTGCTGCGAAAATTTCGGATGTTGCAGCATGTTGCGCACGTTTGGCCAACTCCTAAACAACATCTCACAACACGATCCAGTAATGTTGTAAGGTGTTGCGTTGAAATGTTGGCGACTTTGGCCGGCCCCTAAGAAACGCAGAAGGGATCAGAGTCAAATGCACGAGATAATAACGTAACAAACGCAATGGAGAGCAAACACAAAGTATACGAGATACCAAAAACAGAATCGAAAAGAGGATGAGATTCAAAATGCGTACCTTACGTATTGAAAATCGAAGTAGGATTAAAATCATGACACGCGAAACACTTGTGCAGCAAACGAAGAGGGGAATAAATTCAACATACTCGAGATACTGCGGTAACAATCGCACAGAGCCGGAATTAATCTTAAAATGCGTCACATGATAACGGAACGATCTCAAAGAGGATCAAACACAAATTGCGCGGGAAACCAACTCAACAATCTCAAAGTGCACGAGACGTTAACGTAACAATCGCAGAAAGGAGAAACTAACGTTATAATCGAAGAGAGGATGGAAATCAAAGTAAGTGAAGCGCTCAGACTCAAAGTGTGCAAGACACTAAGACAACAATCCAAGATAATGTCACACTCAAACTCTGCGGGATGTTTGCTTAACGACGTAGAGAAGATCAAAAAAAAATTGTGCGAGATACTTTCTAAACAACTGCAGAGAAAATCGAACTGAAAGGTCGCGGAATGCTTAGTCCACAATAACAGCGAGACACTTAAGTGACAATTGCAGAGAAGGTCAAATACAAATTAAAGGTCGGGAAATGTTCACTCGAAAATCACAAAGAGAATCAAACACTAAGCGAGCAAAATGCTCAATCATCGCGGAGAAGATTTAACACAGAACGCGCGAAATGCTTACTTAACAATCGCAGAGGAGACGAAATTGGAAGTGCGCGAGGCATTAACGTAACAATCGCAGAGACCAATAAACCCACGGTGTTTTGGACTCCAAAGTAACGATCGCAGAAAAGATCAAACATAATGTGCGCGATATACTAATGATCACAACTGCAGAGAGAGTAAAAGTCCAAGAGCACGGGAAAACAACGTGAGAATCGCAAAAAGGATCAAACTAGACCTGCAAGAAAAACTTACGTAACAAGTACAAAGAGGATCAAACTAAAACTGTACGAGACACTAAGTAAACGTAGCAATCGCAGAGAGGATAAAACTCAAAGTGCACGAGACACTACCATAACAATCGCATTGAAGATCAAACACGAAGTGAGCGAGACACTAACGTAACAATCGCAGAGAGGATCAAACACAAAGTGCACGAGACACTACTATGACAATCGCATTGAAGATCAAACACGAAGTGAGTCAGACACTAACGTAACAATCGCAGAGAGGATCAAACACAAGGTGCACGAGACACTGACATAACAATCACAGTGAGGATCAAACTCAAAGTGCACGAGACACTACTATGACAATCGCACTGAAGATCAAACACGAAATGAGCGAGACACTAACGTAACAATCGCAGAGAGGATCAAACTCAAAGTGCACGAGACACTACCATAACAATCGCATTGAAGATCAAACA